GCCTTCTCCGAAAGGAGGCGAGACAATACTCAAGCCCCTAGACAGGCCCGTCATTCGTCCTCGGATCAACTTGAAGACACCCGCACTCTAGTCCTAGATTACAGAGAGGTGTGCGGTGGTGGTGTGTTCTTCTCTTGTTTTCCCCCGCGTGAAGTGCTCCCCTCTCTCAGTTTTTGTTTGGTATTGAGGATACTCCACTATCGATGCACTTGTAGCAATAGAAAAATAGTCGGAACTTTTTGTGTTTGGGTTCCATTTCATCTGGAACTGGTTCCCACCCGCGGTCACGGGGGAATATGTCGCTGGCCAATGGATCCGTGCGTAGAGGGCGGAGCAGAGCGTGTCGTGACGTGACGTCAGCGTCTGTCAGCAGCAGCAACTTGTACCGGAAATACTTGCATGCTTGTCAAGGATGGTGCGCGAAGCTCTACCGCTACTTTTGTATGCGAAGAGACTGCTTCCCTCAACGTCTCGCCTGTAGATTACCTACAGTGCAATCATCGTTAGAGAAGGCCGTACCGTGTTTGCCGAGGGAGATGCCTGATTCCGCGCGAGCATCGGCGGATGGATGCGTCTTCAGCGACTCACGACTCCATCCCTGTTGCCCGTCCTCGCAGTCAATGTTGGTACATACTTTTTCTTGGTCAATGAAGGTGGGTTATTTTCGAGTATTGGGTAGACAAAGTGGTCCGTATGACAAGGAAATTAGTTATACGTACAGTTGATTGCTCTTGTAGAAGGGGTGGGTGTACTCATAGTCGTGCATGCCGTATCTAGTCGTTAGATCATTGACCTCGCATCCCTACAAAGTCGGGACGGAGCACGCCGGGTTCTCACCGGACCAGGCTCTCACATCACCAAGCACGAAGCGCCGTGAGATGTTCGGCGAGTCGCATGGAGGGCGCGCTGCATCCTGCTAAGGGTTTTCGGCATCTTGTCCTTACTTCCTTGCGTACGGATGACAGCTACGTATGACTTTATTTATTTTCTGGTGCTTACGCTTCCAA